GCCCCGTTTGCTGCAGAGGAAGAAAGAACATTTTCTCATATTTCTAGCAGATTCGCAAGGCCAACCTTGGAGTACTAGCAGACAGTTTTGAGAGGGAAAGAAGGCAAACACCAGAGGCTTACAGTTGGAAATATGGAGCTGGGGTGGGGGCAGGTGTTAAGGGCGCTGGACTCCCACATGGCCAACCATCATTCAGTCCTGCACCTGGCGGCTTGCTTTCTTGCTCTCTCTCTGTCCTTTCTGGTCAAATTAAAATAAATTAATAAAGTTAAAATAATTCTTTTAAAAAATATGGAGCTAGGCAGAAAATGGTATCTATGTATAGTAAATCGCAGGGTGGGCCTTGCTCTTCCACATAGGGCTCTAAACCTGGGGCGCGGTGACCAGTATGAAGAGTCATCCCCGGAGAGAGGGGAGGGCAGGGATGAGGACTGCAACCGCACGCCCCAAGGTGGAGACACTACTGGGGCGGGCCTTCCAGAAGTCCATTATGCCACTCTTCCATCTTCCCAATGTGGAAACTGAGGCTTCGGAAGGTTGCCCCCGCCCCGGGCTGCCCAGAGAACAGAGAGCAGGGCACACGGCCTGGGCTGTTCTCGGCTACACCTGCCTCCCGGCACTCCCAGAGTGAGGTGCAGCACTGGCCTGTGGCTGGCCTCCATCTTGGGGGAACCTTGGCCATGTGATGGCCCAAGAGTGGCCACTGGGAATAGGGGTCCAGAGGGGTAGAGGCACTGTCCAGCCAGCCAGCCTAGCCGGGGCAGGATGAGCCCAGGCCTTTCCAGCCATGACAGGCTGGGGAAGGGCGACAAGTGAATGATCTGCTCCCCCCACCAGGGACCTAGCCCCAAAGGACCGGAACGGTGCATCTGACCCTTTTGTCCGTGTGCGCTACAAAGGCCGGACACAGGAGACCTCGGTGAGAGACCTCAGGGACCTCCTGTGCCTCATCTCGACATCACCTGGGTGGTCAGGGTGGGGCCTGGGTCTTAGGAAGGCATCTCAGAGAGGTGGGCGACCTGAGGAGACAGCAGGTCCCGCCCTTCTGGCCATCCTGGCGGTGGGTAGGCGGTCCAGCCAGAATGGGGATAACCTGAAAAGCCCCACAGCTGCCCTCACTGCCTTCCTGTCTTCCAGGAAACAGCCGGATGGTGGGCTCAGGCCTGATGGGGAGGGCGTCGAGGTCTGTTTTTTGGGTTTTTTTTTTAAGAATTATTTATTTAATTTTGTTTATTATCACTTTTTAAATTTGATCAGAGTGAGGCATAGAGGGAGTGAGAGAGAGAGGGAAAGTGCGAAAGCAAGCCATCAGGTCCAGGACTCGAACTGTGGTTGGTTATGTGGGAGTGTCCAGTGCCTTAACCACCACGCCACCTGCTGGTCCCCGAGGTCTGGGTTCTTGATGCAATCTCTACCATTTTGCTGCATGGCCTTGGACACTCTGGGCCTCAATTTCTCCATCCGAGAAATGGGTGGAGGTGTAGACAGGGAGTTCTTACCTCTGCAGCTGCAGAGCCTCCGGGGAGAGGGAGCTGCAGGAATCCGGGGCAGGCTTTGGGCCAGCTGTGCCAGGGAGCCCCATGTGATCAGCCCAGCCCCTCCCACTGCTCTCTGGGCAGATCGTGAAGAAATCCTGCTACCCACGTTGGAATGAGACGTTTGAATTTGAGCTGGAGGAGGGATCTGCAGAGGTGCTGTGCGTGGAGGCCTGGGACTGGGACCTTGTCAGCCGAAATGACTTCCTGGGCAAAGTGAGCACCGCCCTGGCAACAGTGCACCTGCCACCGCCCCAGCCACCCCTCGAGGACACCCTTCCAGTTTGCCCAGAGAGACATTCAGGAAGCTTGGGATTCCTAGAACCAGCAAGTGTCCCTCCACTGCCACAGCTGCCCAGGGACCCTTGGAAGTACCCCTTATCACTAAGAGAACAATGGTTGTCAGGAAAGAGACCTCGTTGTCCCAGCCCTGCATGACCTGTCACCTACCCATCCCCCAGGTGGCAGTGAACATCCAGAGCCTGTGTGTGGCCCAGCAGGAGGAGGGCTGGTTCCGGCTGCAGCCCGACCAGTCCAAGAGTCGAAGGGATGAGTGAGTGCTGGGCTCTAGCTGGGATGGGTCGGTGGGGGTGGGCATGCTTAGATTTGAGAACTGGCTACCGGCAGGCAGGGCAGGTGAGCTGGTCAGGAGACGGGCACAGCCAGGCCAGGATCCTTCTCACCAGGCTAGACCTGGCTTCTACTCCTTCCCTGCCGTCCTGCACTCAGCCCAGTCCTCTGGGCCCGGAGCCAAGACAGGTCTCCTGCTTTCTGCCTCCTGGAAGTTTCTAGTACAAGCCCTAGCTCGACCCCCTCACCAAGGTGCCCCGGGAATAGGGTGACCAGATCCAGGACAGACTCAGCTAAACTGAGTTTCAGATACAAAATGGACACCTCTTTAGGAGAACCATGGCCATGCAATATTTGAGACATACTATTAAGAAAAAATAAGAAAAATTGAAATAAAAAGACTACTTAGGTTTAACCAGGTGTCTTGTAATTTTATTTTGCTAAGTCTGGCAGTCCTGCCCTGGAAGCTCTGTGGCCTGCTTGCTGCGTTCCCACACCCCTCCGGTAGTTCGCATCTCTCTCCCTGCAGAAGGCCCCGGAACCCTCATGCCTACCCTTGACAGCATGGGGTGCACGTGTCCAGCACCGGGCATTGCTGTGGAGCCAGCCCAGGGCTGTGCTGTGTGGGCAGCATCACTTCCTGAGCTGTCCTGTGCTTAGAGAACTGCAGTCCCGCCCTACAGCTCCAGCCCTTCACTGCGGCCTTCCCAGGATGGGATGGAGAGGGGCGGAGACGGCCAGGGCGGGGCTAATTAGACCGTGAGAAGCTTGGGCAGCACCCTCACCCAGAGAGGTCAAAGCAAAGAAGCCCAGAAGTTAGATCTTCACAGGTTAGATCTCAGGGCCAGCTGTGGTATGGTGGGTAGGGCGTGGAGCCCATGTGGTCGAGGGTGTGGCTTGAGTTCCAAACCTGGTGGCCTGAGAAACCTGGGTGTATGTGCGAGTGAGCCCAAGATCCCGAGAGAAAGGAGAAACAGAGACGGGATCTCAGGGTGGCCATGCTCGGCGGTGGCGGGGGTGGGGGTGCTTTCTTCTTTTGTGTCTCTGTCTTTGTTTCCTGGTGAGCACACTCATCTTTTTTTTTTTTTTTGAGAGATTTTCACTGTAGGGCGCGTGCGCTCGCCAGACAGACAGAGAGAGACATAGAGACAGAAAGCGAGAAATCACCCCCCAGGGGGGATGGTCACGCCGCAATCCCTTCTCCTCCATTCTCCTCTCGGGATCTTGGGCACGCATGCACACGCGCCCAGCGTGAGTTTTAAGCCACCGAGTCTGGGACACGAACCGCGGTCGACTACGTGGGAGACCAGCGACATAGCCATTACGCTAACTGCTGGTTCCCGAGCACACTCATCTTTTGGCAAATTAAAAAGAGAGAGAGAGAAGGAAGAAAAAGGGGAAAAGGGAGGGAGAGATAAGCGTGCCAGGCTGTGTGTGCGGGTGCCCAAAATCCTGACTGGAAGGGGAAATGGAAACAAGGGCTGTGACCCAGCCGTGCCCTCTGTGGAGTGCTGTCTCACTTTGTCTGTCTCTGGGGAGCACATGTGTTCTCTGGTTAAAAAAAAAAAAAAGTCAGACCTTATTTGTGTTACCCTGACGAAGCCGCAGCTTCTCTGGCAGGTGGCTGTGATGGTTAGAGACCTGCTTCTGGTGTGAAGTGTGCGTGTGAAGGTGTGAAGGCACCATTACCTGGAAGTGTATAAATGGTAGATTCAAGGTTGGGGAGCCCACATGGGTCAAGCTTGGGGTCCATAGGAGTCTGGAGGTGACAAAGACAACAGGGTTCCCATGGGTAACGAGGCGAGGCGGGAGGAGCTTTCCAAACAGAAAACAGCACAGGCAGTGCACGGGAGGTGGGCAGAGCAGGGACCCCACACAGGGCCGGTGGCAGGTGGAGGACATGAGCAGAGGGACTGGGAGGCTCACCCCAAGGGGGGAAGGCCGAGGCCATGGGAGGGGACGCAGCCCAGGGCGGCCGGGGTCCCTGGTGGAGAGGTCACAGACTGCCCGTTCCAGGGGCAACCTGGGCTCCTTGCAGCTGGAGGTGCGGCTGCGGGACGAGACGGTGCTACCCTCCTGCCACTACCAGCCCCTGGTGCAGCTGCTGTGCCGTGAGGTGAAATTGGGCGTCCAGGTGAGGCCGGGCAGGCAGGTGGGAGGGTCCAGTCATGTTGGCCTGTCCTCCCTGTCCTTCTAAACCCACAGAAAAGGGGGTTTTGAGGAGAAAAGTGCCCAGGGTCCCGGCCAGGCCATCCCTTGGGAAAGTGCCCCACGGGGCTCTGAGGTCCTCAGAGTGGAGGGTGTGGATGTCCGTGCATCCCTGGCCCTGCCTCTTCTTGCCTCCCACAGGGCCCAGGGCAGCTGATCCCACTCATCGAGGAGACGACAAGTGCTGAATGCCGCCAGGATGTGGCCACCAACCTGCTCAAGCTCTTCCTGGGGCAGGGACTGGCCAAGGACTTTCTGGACCTGCTCTTCCAGCTGGAGCTGGGGCGTACCAGTGAGGAAGTGGGGCCTGGCCAGGAGCCGACCTCAGACGTGGCAGGGGTTGGGGAGCCCTGTAGGAAAGAGGCTGATAGGACAGATAGGAGGGAGCGAGGGGAAGAGCAAAGGGCAGAAGTGGAATGGTGGCTTGGGAGGGGGCAAGGAGGCCCTTTGCTGTGGGGCCAGCTTAGAGCCCCCAACCCCAAAGCCCGCTGTCCCCATCTTTTCCCCACAGTCTTGTCCCAATCCCCTATCCACAGAAACCTCTCCTTGCAGGTGAGGCCAACACCCTGTTCCGGAGCAACTCTCTGGCTTCGAAATCTATGGAGTCTTTTCTGAAGGTGAGGTCTCATGATATATAATCCTATTTTATAGACAATGACACTGAGGTTTAGAGAAGCCAAGAGTCAGTTGGGACAAGTATTGTCTTACGTAAGAGTTGAGCTGCAGGGACCAGCAGATGGCATAATGGTTGCATTGCTAGACTCTCACATAGTCAACTGGCAGTTTGAGTCCTGGACCCAGTGGCTTAAAATCATGCTGGGCACGTGTATGCGTGTGCCCAAAAGGAGAATGGAGGAGAAGGGATTGCAGGTGGCCATCTCCCAGGGGAATGATTTCTTGCTTTCTGTCTCTCTCTCTGTATCTCCAGCGAGTGCATGTGCCCTATAGTAAAAATCTCTCTCTCAAAAAAAGAAAGCTTGCTGAGCTGCCCCACTCATGTCATTGGTTGCATCCTGGGCAGTTACAGCGCCAGACGGCTCATGGGGCAGGTGGGGAGGCCGCTGTGGGGGATGGCGGACAGCTGGTGGGGAAAACAGGACCCATGCAGCTTGTGGTGGCCTGCAGGTGGCGGGAATGCGGTATCTGCACGGGGTCCTGGGCCCCATCATTGACAGGGTATTTGAGGAGAAGAAGTACGTGGAGTTGGACCCCAGCAAAGTGGAAGTTAAGGATGTAGGGTGAGGCTGGGGTCATCCCTGGGGGGCCGGTGGGAATTGGGTATAGGGTCTGTCTGCGAGGGTGTTTATGGATCTGTCTGCCTGGTTTACCTGTCGTCGTTCTGCCCGCCTTCTGTGTCCGGGTCTCGGCCGATGCCTTTCGGCGCTTGTCTCCGGAGCCCCCGTCCGCGTCGTGTGTGCAGTGGCTGACTGCGATCCTCTGTGCTGATGCCGCCCTGCCCACGCAGGTGCTCAGGGCTGCACCGCCCACAGACCGAGGCGGAGGTGCTGGAGCAGAGCGCACAGACGCTGAGAACCCACCTGGGGGCGCTGCTGAGCGCGCTCTGTCGCTCCGTTCGCGCATGCCCGGCAGTGGTCCGCGCCACGTTCCGCCAGCTCTTCCAGCGCGTGCGCGAGCGTTTCCCCAGCGTCCAGGAGGAGGTGCGCCCTCTGCTGGCTGGACTGGGGCGGAGGGAAGTGAGAAGTGGGGAGAAGGAGCGGCGGAGAGGGTTCGAAGCCAAAGGCCGGTGGAGGGGAAGAGTCCTGGAGCCAAAGGGAAGGGGGCTGTCAGGAGCCCAGCCTAGGCCTGGGGGAATCCAGCCTCTTGTCTCCCACACCCTTCCAGAACGTGCCATTCATCGCTGTCACCAGCTTCCTGTGCCTGCGCTTCTTCTCTCCCGCCATCATGTCTCCCAAACTCTTCCACCTGCGGGAGCGGCATGCAGACGCCCGGACCAGCCGCACCCTGCTCCTGCTGGCCAAGGTGCGGGCTGTGTGTCCCCCCCTGGTTCACGGGAGGATACTCGTACTTCACAGTTTACAGAGCTTTCTTATGGTCCTCAAGTGAACAGGTCTGCAGGGGGACAGAGGTTGCACAGCTAGTCAGTGGTGACTCGGACCTTTACAAGCGGGTCCATTCCCAGACAGTACCTGTCTGCTCTGCACTGAGCTGGGGCTGGGCTGCCTTGTGTGGCAGAATCTGATATTAAACCAGCAGAGGAAAGCCAACAGGTGGGGCCCAAATGGCCTTAATTATCATAGTCCCCAAAGGCTTCAAGCGCTGTGATCCATTCATTCCTGATCCCTGTGGCTCTGGGTGGACCGGAGGAGAGGGCCTCTGCCACCTCTGTCTCCATCTACCCCGGGAATGGCATAGACCTGTAGGGGTGGGGTTCAGAGACCAGTCCGCTGAGCCAGGAGAGTCTGGTCCTTCCTGCTGTCATCCCTAGGCGGTCCAGAATGTGGGCAACATGGACACACCAGCTTCAAGGGCTAAGGAGGCTTGGATGGAGCCGCTGCAGCCCATGGTGCGCCAGGGCGTGGCGCAGCTTAAGGACTTCATCACCAAGCTCGTGGACATCGGGGAGAAGGAGGGTGAGTGCTTCCCTGTGCGGCCCCACCCACAGCCTCCTGTTCACTGTTCCTTCGCTCCTATGTTGCCCACTGCCCTGGTCATGTTTGCCCCATCCCTGGCCCTTGGCTCCACCCACCACTCTCTGTATCTCCTGTGGCCCAGCCCACCGCCTCCTGGTCACACTGGGGCCTCCTGGGCCCTGTCCTCACTCACTTGGCTCACTTGTCTTCCCTTCCTGGGCTACAGAGCTGGACCTGCAGCAGACGCTGAGCTTACAGGCACCACTTGTGAAGGAGGGGACACTCTTCATCCACAGGACCAAGGGCAAAGGACCCCTCATGTCCTCTTCCTTCAAGAAGCTCCACTTCTCACTCACCACCGAGGCACTCAGCTTTGCCAAGACGCCCACCTCCAAGGTGAGTAAGGAGGGAGGAGGGTGAGCGGGGCTCTGAGAGATTGTAACACCCTAGAGGCATTGTCCCCTTCCTCGGAGCCCATCCCTGGGTCCACTGGGGTCAGAGAAGAAGGCCAGGCCAGGACCAGCTGCAAGGTCACGCTAGACAGGAAGATGACGCCCTTGGCACGGAGGGGGCTTGGGTCTGTCTGGGTGACAGCCCACTTCTCCAAGACTTCCAAAAGACTGTTTGCTTGCCACTGTCCTGTCTTTGCAGCTCTTTGTTAGAAAGTTCTTTGATTATTTCATTATTTTAATTTTTAATTTTGTTCAGTTGCCAAAGGGTGTGTGTATTCACCAGAGAGAGACAGAATGTGGGAGAGGGAGAAAGCTCTGGTCACTGCAGTGCGATCCCATCTCCTGTTCTCGGTTCACATGTGCCTGGTGTGTTTTTCAAGTCACCAGGGTTGGGATCTGGCTCCCTCAGGCTACTGGGGCAGCCCACAAAATTATTTACCTTGAGCTGAAGCCTGCTCTGACTTTCTTCTCTGATCTCTGCTCTGACCACCCACTCTAACACCGCAGAGACTGTAGGCCTAGTATACTGTCCTCCAGAGCCACTGCCCCCTGAGCTTCGTAGCTGTTACACTGTGGCAGACAGCCAGTGTTTTTCTCCATCTTCCTGGTATGCTTTAATTTGCCAAGCAGATCTCCTCTGGGCCTCACTGGGGTGACCCCTCTGCTGAGCCTAGCTTTATTTTTTTTTTTTGGAGAGGTTTTTGCTATAGGGTGCGTGCGCTCGCCAGAAAGAGAGACAGAAAGTGAGAAATAACCGCGCTCGCCAGAAAGAGAGACAGAAAGTGAGAAATAACCACCACCCCTCACTGTTCCTTCGCTCCTATGTTGCCCACTGCCCTGGTCATGTTTGCCCCATCCCTGGCCCTTGGCTCCACCCACCACTCTCTGTATCTCCTGTGGCCCAGCCCACCGCCTCCTGGTCACACTGGGGCCTCCTGGGCCCTGTCCTCACTCACTTGGCTCACTTGTCTTCCCTTCCTGGGCTACAGAGCTGGACCTGCAGCAGACGCTGAGCTTACAGGCACCACTTGTGAAGGAGGGGACACTCTTCATCCACAGGACCAAGGGCAAAGGACCCCTCATGTCCTCTTCCTTCAAGAAGCTCCACTTCTCACTCACCACCGAGGCACTCAGCTTTGCCAAGACGCCCACCTCCAAGGTGAGTAAGGAGGGAGGAGGGTGAGCGGGGCTCTGAGAGATTGTAACACCCTAGAGGCATTGTCCCCTTCCTCGGAGCCCATCCCTGGGTCCACTGGGGTCAGAGAAGAAGGCCAGGCCAGGACCAGCTGCAAGGTCACGCTAGACAGGAAGATGACGCCCTTGGCACGGAGGGGGCTTGGGTCTGTCTGGGTGACAGCCCACTTCTCCAAGACTTCCAAAAGACTGTTTGCTTGCCACTGTCCTGTCTTTGCAGCTCTTTGTTAGAAAGTTCTTTGATTATTTCATTATTTTAATTTTTAATTTTGTTCAGTTGCCAAAGGGTGTGTGTATTCACCAGAGAGAGACAGAATGTGGGAGAGGGAGAAAGCTCTGGTCACTGCAGTGCGATCCCATCTCCTGTTCTCGGTTCACATGTGCCTGGTGTGTTTTTCAAGTCACCAGGGTTGGGATCTGGCTCCCTCAGGCTACTGGGGCAGCCCACAAAATTATTTACCTTGAGCTGAAGCCTGCTCTGACTTTCTTCTCTGATCTCTGCTCTGACCACCCACTCTAACACCGCAGAGACTGTAGGCCTAGTATACTGTCCTCCAGAGCCACTGCCCCCTGAGCTTCGTAGCTGTTACACTGTGGCAGACAGCCAGTGTTTTTCTCCATCTTCCTGGTATGCTTTAATTTGCCAAGCAGATCTCCTCTGGGCCTCACTGGGGTGACCCCTCTGCTGAGCCTAGCTTTATTTTTTTTTTTTGGAGAGGTTTTTGCTATAGGGTGCGTGCGCTCGCCAGAAAGAGAGACAGAAAGTGAGAAATAACCGCGCTCGCCAGAAAGAGAGACAGAAAGTGAGAAATAACCACCCCCCCCAGAGGGGATGGCCATGCCGCAATCCCTTCTCCATTCTCCTCTCGGGATCTTGGGCACGCACGCACATGCTCCCGGTGTGAGTTTAAGCCACCAGGTCTGGGACTTGAACCGCAGTCGACTACATGGGAGTTCAGTGACATAGCCAATAGACCAACTGGTGGTCCCCCAGCTTCTTTACCTCTGGAGAGGCCTTCAAGTCTTCTCAGTGTTTCCTCACAGCCACAGCAAAGCCTGCTTATCTGCCAGGGCCCTCTTTCCCCAAGTCAGGGTCATCTCCGGCTCCTTGGCATGGTGCGCCACCCTTCAGTGGCACATCCTGTGTTCCCCTGTGCAGCAGGTACACCCCAGCATGGGCAGCACATCTTCTGGGCTGGATGGAGGATCCTGCCTCTCCCTTTGTCCTTTGGCAGATACCACCCTGCTCAGAGGCATGCTCCCAGGAGATGGCAGTGTGTCTGCTCTGCTTGTCCCTGAGCCCAACGGGGTGGGGGCCTGGATGCCAGACTGGGAAGTGTGGGCATCAGCCTGAGGGCCATAGGGACAGTCACTCAGATGGTGAGGGGCCTGAGTGAGTTCTGATGGGAGAGAATTCAATAGGCAAGGAGAATGAGCTGGAACCTGGGGGAGGGGGGTGGACAACGTTCTCAGGTTGTGGGCTGCTCAGGGGTGTGTGTATTTTAGATGCAGACCTTCCCTTAGTCCCAGCTACATCTCATCAGATTTGATACTGGCAGGAGGTGAGGGGGCACGGAGGGGACATGCATTTTAGAGCCTGAGAAATAAGGATGAGTTGGGACAGTAGTCAATGCAGAGGCGCAGGGCTTGGGCCATGCAGGCGTGACTTCGTAGCTAGGTGTGCTGGCGTCTGCACTGTTCCAGAGCTCAGGCTCCCCAAGCTTGCTGGGAAGGCCTCTCCCTTCCCAGTAGCTGGGCACTTGGCCACTGGCAGGCTGTGCTCTGTCCTGGCAGGCACTCAGGAGCGATGGGCACCTTGGGTCCTCCACACAAAACCCTGGTGCTGCAGAGGGGAGGCTGGGGCCCAGGGACAGAAGTGGAGCCTCAGGTCCTGAGTCTCCCTTCCCTTCCCGGCCCCAGAAAAGCACCCTCATCAAGCTTGCCAATATCCGGGCAGCAGAGAAGGTGGAAGAGAAGAGCTTCGGCAGCTCACACGTCATGCAGGTCATCTACACAGATGATGCGGGCAGGCCCCAGACGGCCTACCTGCAGTGCAAGGTACGGGCTGTGCCAAAGGGGTAAGGGGGCACTGCGAGTGGAGGGGCTGGGGGAGTGGTGTGCTGGGAGTCTCCCCAGGTGGGCCAGGATAAGGAGGGAGTGGCCTCTCACCCTCTTATGACCACATTTGGCACAGCGGGACACGTGTGATCTGACATGAATGCAGCGTGTATGTGTGTGCGCACATGTGCATGCACGTGTGTGCGTGTGTGTGGTCCTGGACTCTGAGCATCTGGGAGGCCATGGCCATGGCCATGCCTTTTTGGGGGCACCCACATGTAGGTGTGGGTGGTCCAGGACATGGTCCCTGTGATTTGGAGCTTGTCCACTGCACCTCAGTGTGGGAAACTGTACTTGAAAGTACCCGGGTTGGTGAGTGTGCGTTTCCGTGGATGCATCAGCGTGCACTGATCATGCATTTGCACACACGCCTGGTTCTGGGTGCATGCTCTCAAATACTCTTTCTGTCCATTTAGTAACTCATTTATTTAGAAAACGTTTTTCTCAAGGTTCTAGAGAAAGCAGAGGCCCTGGCCTCAGGAAGCCATACCCAGGGAGGAGTATCAGGTGGTGACAGTGCCCTGGAGGGAGCCAAAGGAGAATGAGAGCAGAGGGAGGGGCCGAGGGGGGGTGCAGCAAGGAGGGGTGCAGCAAGGAGGGGTGCAGCAAGGAGAGGTGCAGCAAGGAGGGGTGCAGCGTTTTCTTTTTAAAGTTGATTTATTGCAAGAGCAAGTGAAAGAGACAGAGACCGCGCCCCCAGCAGGACCCTCATGCCATCGTGCACCCCCAGCCTCAGCCACCATTAGATGATGGGCACACACGTGCGTGGCCGAAGTGGGTTGCTGGGTAGAGCACAGAGCCACCCCTTGGGGTCCTGCCCACTAAGAGTTCCCTTTCGAGTCAGGCTCCAGAGCCACAGGGAAGAAGTGGTGACAGCACATGTAATTGGCAGGTTCTGGGCTTCAAGGGGCATGGCGCGGGCCAGCGGTGCTGAAGTCAGCCCACACCCTGCTCACCCAGCCCCACGCCCGGCGTGGACTCGTGACTTTCCCACTGAAGGGCAGCCTTTCCTAATTCACTCAGCTGCTGAGTGGGCTCATGGGGAACGTGGCGTCCTGAGTGGTCCGGGAGCCCCAAGTAGCGAGGGCCACTTAGAGGAGGTCTCCCCCACCCCGGCCCCTGCAGTGCGTGAACGAGCTGAACCAGTGGCTGTCCGCGCTGCGGAAAGTGAGCATCAACAACACTGGCCTGCTGGGCTCCTACCACCCTGGCGTCTTCCGCGGGGACAAGTGGAGCTGCTGCCAGCAGAAGGACAGGACAGGTGGGCACGGAGCCTGGGCCCTGTTTGCGTCTGCTCACAGCAGGCCTCGCACCCCTGGCTGGGAGAAGGGACCCCTGAACCTGCCTGGCCAGCCTGGCTGGGTGCCCGTGGTGCACCTGTGGGAACTGACCTGAGGAAAGCCAGCCCCCTGCACCCCTCCCATCACGTGTGTGATGCTTGTGAGGGGAGACTTTGAAGGCTCTGAGAGCTGAAAACTCAGAATCCAATTTCTCTCCTTTTTTTTTTTTTTTTTTAATTTAACTCAAGAGACAATGTGTACATGCATATGTAAGAGAGAGAAACACTCTGTTTTTGGTGTGTTTCCTTTTTAGTTTGCTTTAAGGGATATGTGATCACCAGAGAGAGAGGGGGAAAGTGAGAAATCACTCCCTGGGGAGATGGCCACACTGCAGTCCCATCTCTTCCATTCTTTTCTCGGAATTTTGGGCATGTATGCACATGTGCCTGGTATGATTTTCAGGCTGCCAGGACCAGGACTTAAACTGCAGTCAGCCATGTGGGAGTCCAGCGCCTTACCCACCATACCACCTGCTGGCCTCTTAATTTTTTTTTTAAGTTTATTTCTTTTTTTTCTTTTTTTTTGAAGAGGATTTTGCTATCGGATACATGCGCTCGCCAGAAAGCGAGAAATCACCCCCCATGGGGGATGACCATGCCACAATCCCTTCTCCTCCATTCTCCTCTCGGGATCTTGGACACGCGCCCGGCGTGAGTTTAAGCCGCTGGGTCCAGGACACGAACCGCGGTTGACTAAATGGGAGTCCAGCAACATAGCCATTTTGCTAGCTGCTGGTCCCAAGTTTATTTCTTCCATGAGAGAGAGAGACAATATTCCCAACTGGGTCTTGTCACCATGATCCCTCCCCAGCTTCAGCCAGCTCTAGGTCATGGATATACGGGTGCCTGGTGTACTCAGGGAGATCTGTGGACATGAACTCAGAACCTTCCCGCATGGGTCAGCCTTGCAGAGCTTTGCATTTTACTGTTGTTCCATCGTCCAGTCCAAGTTGTAAATTGTTTAAGTTGTTTTTAATTTTCATTAACTTTATTAGCCTCAAGTGGCTAGAGGCTACCCTCTTGGACAGTATGCTTCTAGAACTTTCAAGATCTTCCCTTTATCCACACCTACTTTACAAAATAGACTCACTATTTGGAGCCCCTGGCCTCTAGGCCAGGCCAGGCCTCAGGCTTCAGAGCCAGGTGTGGAAGTAGAACCTAACCCCCTACTTAGACCAGCCCTGGATTTGCAGTTTCAGCAGTGGGTGGGGATTGGTGGCTCTTGGTGACTCTTTTCAAGGACTTTGCTGGCTTGTCGACCCTACCTGCAGCCTCTGACTGTAGCCATCACAGAATGCCTTGTTACTGAAGTGGGGCTTACCATGGCCTGTTATCCCTTTTATGGGGGAGAAACCAAGGCTTAGAGAGGGCAGATAACTCTGCCTAAGGTCAGGAAGCCAGCCAGTGGCAGGGCCAGCTCATTCCAAGGCACGAGCCCTTGTGCCCACTCCCTCAGTCTCATAGTCCAGGCTGCTCCCTGCTGCTTCCCAGGCAGGAAACCTCCCTGGAAGTTGCCCAGCTTGCCCGAGTGGTATCCCACAGAACCCCCATGCTCCAAGCTCTGGCGTCCTACACGGTTCAGGAGCTGAAGTCAGGATGAACCGCGGCCCCAGAAGGGTGGTGTGCTTCAGGCGCGGCCTGGGCCAGCCTGCACTGTGCATCGAGTCCATCCTGCTCCTTCTCCAGGCCTTGGTTTCCCAGGACATTGGGCGTGGTAGTCCCACAGTGCCTGTTCGTAACTCCCCCTCCCTGTGCTCCAGATGGAGGCTGCGATAAGACCCGGTCCAGGGTGACGCTGCAGGAGTGGAACGACCCTCTTGACCATGACCTTGAGGCTCAGCTCATCTACCGGCACCTGCTGGGCGTGGAACCTGCACTGCGGTGAGGAGGCCATGTAGGGGCAGCAAGACTACCCAGGAGAGCCTGTAAAGCCCTTGGGGAACCTGGCAGACTGGGGCTGGAGCTGGGGTGTGGGCTGCTCTGGCCTGGCCACCTCCTTCTAGTGGGCAGCCCTCATGGTCGCACCCGGGAGGGTGCCTGGACCACCTCGGGTTAGGATGAAGCCCTCAGAGTCAGGGCCATGGCTACTTCCTGCCCTGGGCTGACCCTGCCTCCCCACGGTCTGAGGGTACTCAGCCAGCTCCCTGAGTCTCTCGGCCCTCTTGCCTAATTCAGTGGCTCCTGAGCCCTGACCCTGTTGCAGCTTAGACAACAGGATGCTCTCCCAACACAACTTTAGAAACAGGACGCGGGGCCTCAGTCTCTCTCGGGTGGGGCCCAGCATCAGGAGGCATTAAGGTGACCCCGCTGCTTCCTAAGAGCGAGCGTGGCCTGAGCTTGCTTTTCTTGCTCACACCGTACATCGTGGCACATGGGGGCTGGGGGCGAGTGGGGTCCTCCTTGCTCCTCATCTCTTCCCTTAAAACCCTTCAAAGCTCAAGCTTTTGCCTAGAAGCACTGTTCCCCTGTGAGCTGCAGTCACAGCAGCCTCCTGTCACTTGGCGGCCACCTCCTCTCTGATGGTGTAGCCCTGACTCACTGGCACTCCCTGGGTCATGCCTACTCCTATCCCCTTGTTCAATGATTTATCCTCCCTTTAGAGGGTGATGGACCACCCTGCCCTGTACTTCCCACCCACCTGGACCTCACTCCAGACCCTAGAGTTGTCATGAGTCCCCCCCTTCCCCCTCCATCTCCTCACCTTCCTCTCCCTCCTCTTCCTGTTCACTTGCAAGGCGTTTCATGTGTAAGCACATTTAATATTCAAACAGGACCAGCGATGGCATGAAGGGGACTGTGTCCCGCATGGCGGGTGGCATGGTTTGAGACCCAGACCTGGCAGTTTAAAAGACAATAGGCGTGTGTGTGTGTGTGTGTGTGTGTGTGTGTGTGCGCGCGTCTGTGTGTCTGTGTCCCAAATCCCGAGCAGAGAAAGGAGGAGAGGATCACAGTGTGGCCATCCCTCCTAAGGGGTACTTTCTCACTTTCCTCCTCCCCTCCTCTCTCTCTTTCTCTGTGTCTCTGGCTGCGAGTGCATGTGGGTTAGAGCAAATTTAAAAACAAATTTACAACCATGGAACCAAGCCTGTGCCCTTATGCCCATTTAGGCCAGAAAGTGACCAAGGAGAGATTAGAACCTAAGCCCCTTGGCTCCAGTGCCTTTGGTCCTAACCACTACTACTGCTGCCTTGAGAACCCCCACTCCAGTACCACTCTAGCCACCCCTCCCATTCCAGCTCCCTTCCTCTGGGGTCTGATACCAACAGGCCTTCCCTCCACCAGTGCCTCTCGATCCATTGACTTCACTGCCTTGGGCACACATGCACATGCGCCTGGCGTGAGTTTAAGCCACCAGGTTCGGGATTCAAACAGTGGTCGACTACATGGGAGTCCAGCCACATAGCTATTATGCCAACTGCTGGTCCCAGCCCAACAATTCTTTAAAAAAAAAAAAAAAAGTGAAAGTCCCCAGGGCAGCAGGTGGTATGATGGTTGAGGCTCTGGATCCCACATGGGCAACCATGGTTCAAGCCCTGGACCCAGCTGGGTCTCCTCAACCTCATCTCCCACCACCATCCCCTTCTGGATGCGCCACTGCAACCACTCCCACCTTCTTGTGCTTCTGGCCTTGCTCCCCCAGTCCTTGCTGTGTCCTTTGCCTGAAAGTTCTTCACCAGATTATCACATACTCATTCCCCTGCCTGATCCAGGTCTCTGCTTAAATGCCACCTCGTCAGAGAGGCCCTTCCTGACCACTGCTGCTCTCGCCCTGTGGGACTTGTGGTCATGGGAGCTGAGTGAGCATGTCGTCTCATTTCTGGCTTATCTGCTCACTACTCTCTGAGCCCCTCAAGGGCAGGACTTCAGCATGGCTGCTCTAACCCCAATGCTGAGAATAGGGTTTGGCACCTTCTAGGCCCTGTAGATTCTGGGTGAGTGGAGGGTTGGGCAGAATGGCATCTGAGCTGCTCTGTGAGGTGTGACGGAGGCTCGCGAGGAGCAGAGCAGGGTTGGTGGAGGCAGCGTGGATCAAAGGTGAAGTTGACCATCCCCAAGAGAAGCAGTAATGAAGCCTGGCAACCCCACGGGGCCTGGAGGACTCCCAGCACCCACCAGGGTGGCAGAAAGCCTGAGTGGGAGAAACCCTAAATTAAGAAATTCAAACAGGAGGTCACCTGGCAGCTCATCCTCTCTCTGTGTGAACACAGGGCTGTACCTAACAAGGCCGGGATCTCCAGTGAGCCCCGTTAGGAGCTGCGCCTAAAATGCCAGTCCCACAAGGAAAAAATTCACTCCATGGCCAGTCAGTATTAGGGGACTCCATGGCCCCAGCTGGCTTCCCCAGGAGCCCTGTAGAGTAGGAGTGACGTGGACTCAAAGGCAGGAGTGGGGGTCAAGGAGGCAGTTGGAGGAGGGAGGGGGAAGGTGACCAGGGTTGAGACTGGGGCCTACGGTTCTTTCTCAGAGGTTGAGCCAGCCCTCGCCCCTAGAGCCCCTCAGGAGGCCCATACTGGGGGCCAGCCCTCCTCAGTAAGGGCACCGGAGCTCTGGCAGGGGCCATCATGGTTGCAACCCTCACTCTGTGCCCCCCCGCCCCAGGGAGAAGCACCGGGAGCTGAGAGGAGGCACTGAGGCAGGCGCCATGCCACTGGGCCCTGGCGAAGGTAGGTCCCTCCCACTGGGACTCGTGCTGTGACCTGAGCCCTCTTTCGGAGGTGTCTGGGTGGGATCCTCAGGCCATCAGCCCTGCCTGCCACCCTCACAGCTCCATTTGCCTCCAGCCTCCAAGGACCCACTGGCCCAGCTGCTCCAGGTGCTGCAGGAGCTCCAGGAGGCCCATCGCTCCAGCCCAACCACTCCCCTGCCTTCGGAGCCCCACCGCCTCTTGGAGCTGCAGACGTGAGGCCTGCCCTGTGCTCGGTGTCCAGCCCCCTGCCAGGTGCACTCTCACTGGGGTGCAGGCCCTGGGTGTCTCCTGGGTGGGGCAAATTGGGGAACAGGGACAAGGGTCCAAGAGTCCAAGGGTCCTTACAGATCTGACAAGGCCATGGCCCGTCGTGGCCACCTGAAGTCTCTGGGGGATTTAGGTGGCTCCACTTCTCTGCCAGACCTGGCTGCCCAATATGGCCCCTGCAGCCACCGCTGCCACCAGCCCAGACTCTGCAGGGACCTTCCTCTCACCACCCCTAAGAAGGTTCCTGCCCAGTGGACCGTCCTTCTGGGACCCAGAGAAGGAAACAATGCAGGGCCCCTGAGAGACCAGGCCTTGACCTCAGCACCCACGGGCTCCCAGTCACCTCCGCCCACTCCCCGCTGCCTGTGCCCCTCAGGAGGGGCCTCGCGGTGCTCTGTTGCCGACAATAAACCTGCTGTCACTGCAAAGGCTTTGGGATCCTGTGATGGGGGTCTGGGGAGAGAGTGGGTCCTGAGGCACCCAGAGGCCACTGGTGGGTGGCCAAGGAGCCAGGCTGCCCGCAGAGCCACTGCACCTCCTGCTCCCTTGCCTGTGCTTCCCCTGTCGGGGAGGCTGCTTGCTGCTCCCAGCTACTGTCTCCACCATACTCCTGGGCTCACTCCTCCATCCTCCGTGGGTGTTGCAGCCCCAGCAGCCCCCAAACAAGGCTCTCCTCAGGGTGTCCATGAAGACTGCCCAGCGGCAGGGGTGTCCTTCCCTTTCATGCACCCACGGGTTGCCCCAACCCCACTGAGCCTGTTGGCCGTGCTGGGATTCCTGGCTCTCCACTGTCGTGTTCTGATAGGCTGCTGGCTGTGCCACAGTGATCCGGCTCAGTGGGGAGAAGCCCCCAAACCCCTTTAAGGCCTCAGCCTCGTCTTGGCCATGCAGGTACCTGCTTAACTGTCTGATCCCACATACCAAAGGTCCTCTGCCCTTGCCCCATAGGGGCCCGCATCACCAAAGGTGGTTCTACTGTTGGCAAAGCTTGAATGGGGTCCAGTCCCCTTATCTTGGGGTCTGAGGGTCTTGGGTAGAGTCCTTGGCATCCTGGGAGTCTGTCTGCTTTTCCTCGCTCAGTCATTCTGAAACCCCACCAACCTCCCCTTCTAGGGGTTGCCTACTGAGCCCTGGCCCCTGCCAGAGAGGAGCCCCACTGGCTCTGTGGGGAGTGTGGATTAGCCACTGGGTCACACACTGAATCAATTCTGGGGTGGCTGGTGTAGCAAACGACTGGGAGTGGGTTGAGTGGGGCCTTGCCAGAGACTTCCAAATAGGGCTCTGTCAACCTCTTCCCTTCTCTGGCTGCCACCTCCCCCACTATACAGGCTCCTCTCACCAGCCACCCCCCATCCCCCACCTCCCCACCCCCGTCACTGGCCTTATGCTCCCTCCCTACAAGACAC